ATTATTTATAAAGTTATACAAGTTACACGTCTTCTTGTTCTTTTTATTTTGTGTAATGAAATATATTTAATGCACGTTGGTATTATTTATATGAGTAATCAATTTAAAATATGTAAATAAATTTAAATTTAAATAGTGTATAAATAATGTACAAAATATACACATATATTATTTTAGAATTTAAATTTGTATACTAAATAAACAACTTTGATTTAAGAAAAACTATGAACTCAATCTCTTCTAATATCAATATTTTTCTAATTTTCATTGTAATGATTATTCTTATTATATATATAGATTAGAATTTTTTCAACACCAACCAAACTAAATATCACAACAACCAAGTAACAATTATGAAAAAACCCATAACACACCAACTGTCAATTAAATTTGGTAATAGAAAATTTACATACATATATATAAAAATATGAGGATTCTATATTTCTATTAACTGATGTATACACCACGTGTATATTTTGTTAAGGTATATTGGAATGTTCAATTTCATGGCATGATAACGATCAGTCTTAAAAAATCGAAAATCTTATTGAAATGCCATATTTTTCTGTTAAAAAAAAGTTCCCATAAAAAATAATTATATCATAGAAAATTCATTGTGTAATTGAACAAATTTCTATAATGAAGCCCGATTTTCTGTACAAAAATAAAGCAACAACTTCCACATTATAAGGAAATCAATTAATGTTGGTCCGTTTTTGCTAAAAAAATAATAAATAAATAAATTATAATTAATGGAAAGTAATTAATGATGAGAAAATTTGATCATATCTGTTTTTAAAAATCGTAAAAGAAAAACAAATATTAAATAAAAACTGTATAATACGAAAATAGTAATGACAATAAATGTTGTTGACTTTTCTAGCTACTAAATTTGGTAAATAGGACTCCCTTTAATATAAGGGGACTTGTATGAGTGTATATAATAATTCAAGGATTAAACTATTTTGGGTTGAATATTTTGAGTAATATAGATTCGATGGCCCTAATTATTCTTGTATGTGTTTCTGAATTTTCTAAAAAATGCATTTTTTGTTTTGGTAACTAATCTTTTTTATATATAGGGGTTTGTAGCGTGTAATAAAATTGCTGGGGGCCCATACTCTAATAAGGCACAACACAGAATATGGAAGAAGTTGCGGGGAGAAAAAGAAAAGACGGAAAGTGAAAAATAGACAAAGGGTTTTAAAGCTAAGAAAAATGAAGAAAATGAGT